CACCTAATTCAAGAAATTAGTTTCGACAATAAACTCAATACAAGGCAGAAAACATTTAAGTTTGGTGGAAATATGGAGTCTAAATACCTTTTCAAGAATTTGACCATGAGTTGATCTAGAAGAGTGGAGAATTTTGGCCTCTTACAGCTGGAGAAGGTTGCATCAACCGGAGAAGATTGGTTAGATCCGACAAATCCTAGTATATCTTGAACATTTAGTCCATGGTTGTTTTGCACCAATAGATTAATTAAAGCAATGTTGCATTTGCCTCAGTTCTTGCATTCCCTCTCTCATTTCTTACATATCTTCTTTAAACGTAGAGGCTCTATTGTTATGCTTTTGTTGGTACTTATTGATTTCTTAATATTTTTTAGAGAACTTGATGTCACCGATCTACCATAACATCGTATTTGACCAGGCTGCTCCCTTTTAAACAATGCCCTAAATACTTCATCTGATATTTTTCCGGAGTTTTGACGGTTTTGAAGTTTAGACTGTAAAAAAAAATAATTATAAGAATAAACTTTACATGTAAAGAATCTAAGTCCCAGATAAGATATTAGTTGTAGCATGACTTACTATTGCAATTTGATCAATTTGCTTCCCTTGCTTTGTACGAGTTGCAATAAATATTTCAAACTTTGATAGTTCCTCGCTGTACTCTTTACTTGCATGCTACAAATTAAATCAAACGAAATAAAAAAACAAACATCAATGTATTCTAACAAAGTATGTAAAAAAATAAAAGTTATATTTTTCATAAATATTATCAATGCCGCACATACTCTTGCAAAATTAATAGGTCTCATCTGATGGCTCTACTTATGTTTTTTCTGTTTTCAGTTTAATTTGAACATTATCTAGATCCAAAAGAAGTATACTAATTAATAAATCAAAAAGGGAAAAATATATAATGCAACAATATGTTCAAGAGTAGAAATGCGCAGTTTAATATCACTTGAACATCTGGATCTCTCCCATACTCAATCAATTGGCGGAATTAAACTTTTGGTATCTCAACAAGATTGTTTTTAGCATCTCTTCAATAGTATGATACCTATCAAAATGATTCTTCTTAATAATTCTCTTGTCGCGAAGACCATCCATCACCCACTTCTTTCCTTCTACTGGAATAATGATTTTAGACTCTGCAAAATAACATATATGTTATCTTCATTTAGTAAGAAACACAATAAGATACACAATTTAAAATTGATTGTCCTTAAGTTAACATATCCCAACTTGCGTTTTTTAATATCATCAGACACAGCCTGCCAGCTAGTGAACAACTAGGTGATATATCTGGAATTCCTAGCAATTGTTCCTATAAAGTTGCTTAACTAGTACACTCTTTTGTCAGTTGTTCCAATGGCTTGTCCTTTATCAAATGTCACTTCCTCTATTTCCTCAAAGTTTCTTGCGTGAATCATCTTACATTTTATTGCCCTCGAACTTTCTTCTTATCTGATGTCCCACATTTATGTAACAACTAAGACATAAGGAAAAGAATACAATGAGCACATAAAATTACAAGGTTTAAAACATATCACTTGTAGCAGAATCAATGTCTATATAGCTTAATCTCTAACACACTCATCCTTGCCAACTTCTTCTTGTGCAACAAAATTATCCAATTCTATATTATGATCATCAACAAGAGGGGAGGGCATAGATCTGGTACCATCTAACTAGTTGAATATCAGGTTATTTTTATCCACCCACATGTATCCTTTTTTTCCTAGAAAAAGATCAAGACTCGTCGCTGATAAGACTGATTTATTCACTGTTTTGCAATTTTCTCATTCTCCTTATCTTCTTCCAATTATATACAAAGTGTTAAGAATTTCCTTCGAAGACAGTGGATCATGGATTTGTGCATAGGTAAATTACTATTTCCTTATTGTTGAAAGGACTCCTCAAATTGAATTAACCTTTATCTGTTGTGTACTTCTCTTGCATTTGATATTGTAGGCATAGAATGCTTGCATTTATGAGTTACTAGTGCTTTCTCTTTCACAACGCTATACTCTTTGTCATTAGCAAGTTTTTCTTTCTTACTGAAATTGCTTGGCCAATTCAGCACTTGATCAAAACTGAAAATCAAAACCTATCTTCTTCATAGGACTACTATGAGCTTTGTTTGGATTCAAACTCTTTTCTTTGCTCCTGAATTCATTCTTCATAAAGAGAAAAAAAAATAGAAAATATCGAAAAGCAGAATGCAGAAAGCAAAAATTTCTGAAACGATGTACAGAAATGCAGAAAATACAGAAACATTGGGTAAAAATGCAAAACTATTGTGCAGAAAATGCATAAAATGCAGAAATACCGTGCAGAAATACTATGCATAAAGCAAAAAATGCCTAAATGCTATGCAAAAATACAGAAACGCTGTGCAAAAATGCAGAAATTACGGAAACGCTGTGCAGAAAGGCAACAAATGCAAAAACGTTGTGCAGAAATGCCAAAACACTATGCAAAAATACAGAAACACTGTGCAAAAATACAAAAAATACTATGCATAAAGCAGAAAATACCGAAATATTGTGCACAAACACAAAAATTGTCGAAATATTGTGCACAAATGCAAAAATACCGTGCAAAAATGCTGAAATATTGTGCAAAATGCAGAAATACTATGCAAAAATGCAGAAATACAGAAATACTGTGCAAAAATGCAATGCTAGAATACCGGTAATTCTGTGCAGAAATGTAGAAACACTATGCAGAAATGCAAAAACACTGTTCAGAAATGCTGAAACACTACAATAATTCTGAAAATGTAGAAATGCAAAAACGCAAAATTAGCCGTGCAGAAAGCAGAAAATGCAGAAACGCGGCGCAGAAATACCGAAAAATGCAGAAATGCGAAAACACTATGCAGCAATGCCGAAATACCTTCAAAAATGCAAAACTTACAGACGTGCAGAAATCAGAAATACCTGCTCAATATCTATATGTTTCCTCAATTTTGCTAGTCCACAATCTTCTTTAGTTAAAAATGAACCACCTGGTAATAATAAAAGAAGAAACATGTTATTTACTTTAAAAAATTTCTTAACACTCTAGATAATAAATGGTAACATTATCTAGGTAAACTTTCCTTTCACTCCTATGATAGTTTATTTCAAAAGTAGAGGACTTAAACTTCTTTCCATATATGGTAATGTGATGCGCTATACTTCCTCGTGTTATGACAATAACTTGAGGCACAATAAATAGTACTATCTCCGTTCCAGTTTATGTGAACCTATTTCCTTTTTGGTACGTTCCAAAAAGAATGACCCCTTTCTAAATTTGGAAATAATTTTGCTTAAACTTACAATTCTACCGTTAATGAGAAGCTTTTATAACCACACAAATACTCTGGGCCCTTTTTTGTATTGTTTAAGACCACAAATTCCAAAAGTCTTTATTTTTTCTTAAACTCTGTGCCCAGTCAAACAGGTTCACATAAATTGGAACGGAGGGAGTACTAATTAAATGATTCAAGAAACCAAATAAGATTAAAATACTTTACATATGCAGCTTTAGATTTTAACAGAAAGGATCAAAAGTAACCAATCAATTAAGTTCTACCAATACTAAAAGAAACTTTGGAATATAAAGTGAACAGAGATAAGAGCATAAGAAGAAAAAAAAATATTAGAACTTGATAAATAGATAAGAAATCATCGACAAATAAATGTCATCAATTTGACGTCTAAAATATGAGTTTGTAATGTCTCTCTAGTTGTTAATCAAGCAAATGACTAAACTATTTTTCTAGATGAACATTGTACAAGCATTCAACTTCTGAATTAGGATCAAACTCATGATGTATCCTCAACATCAACCTCATCTTCTGGTTCAATTTTAGTTTGTTGAACAAGAAATCCTTCTAGAGGCACATCAGTTACGGTTGCAGGTACATCACTCCTTATTAAAACAACTTCACCATCATCATTCGCTATAGATGGGCCCATCGAATGTTCATACGGCTCATTAGTGGGGAGCATCAAATTCAAATTGGTCACGTATGTTAAACAATTCTCTCCGAAGAGTCTTCATAACATAATGTTTTTCTTGATCATATGGATCTTGCACATAGAAGCATTGGTGTGCTTAGGATGCTAGCACGAATGACTCTTCTTGGTAGCATTTCTTGTTGAAGTAGACATAAGTAAGACCATAAATATCTTCTTCAGCCTCATACCACTTACACTTAAACAACATAATTTTAAAATGGCCATAACAATCTAACTCAATGATATCAATTTTTCTACCTTAATAAGTCAAATTTGCATCAACCGAGTTTTATCCTCTAAGCTTGTAAAAGTTGTAGTTAATGCAACTAATGTAACACCACTATTTTGTGTTTTACGCCTTGCATCACGCTGTCTCGTGTGGAATCTATATCCACTAATAAGATATCCAGAATATCTTGTAGTAATTGAATTTATTCCTCTAGACAAATGTTTTATCAAATCAGGCAAATTCTCATGCAAAACATGACCTTCAAATTATTGAGAGAAGCTTTGACTATGATTCTTGGCCTTGCTCTATTTAGATCTCATGACTATTAATCTCAAGCTCATGCTCTCTACACAACATGTATTGTTATTTGTTAGCAAAAAAATAAATAATATAATTTAAAATTTATCGATATAAAAGAAAATACTACAAATGAGTTAAATCACCTTACATATTCTTGAATTTCATCACAATTGATTGCATTATTAAAATGTATCAGATTGGTCCTTATTCTTTGAAAAAATTTTCCTTTAGACTCAATAGGTTTCAGGATTTTATCCCTTAAAATATTCCTCAGAAACTCACAAGAAATTATATACTATTTTTGTTAGCTTCAAGATTTCACGTATTGATTTTGATGATAACAAACCAATATAATTATTATTCAAATAACATTTATTAGTGGTAATTTATTCTTGAACAAGTTTATGCAAGAAGGAAAATGCTGGTAAAGATCCAAACAAATATGGGAAAGAGAATATCATGTGATGAATTTATCAGGGAAGATTATTCTCAGAGACTTAATCTGCAAGCGTCATGGAAGGAAGCATGGGCATGAAGAGAAGAAAAAGAGTGTTGCCACCAAATCAACTATTGTTGAGTCAGAAGGTGAAGATGAAGAAGAAGAAGAAGAAGGAGACAAACATCAAAATAATATTGCATTATTTTCTAGAGTTGTCTCTAACACGATGCGAAGAAGCAAGAATAATAGAAGAGGCAAATCAAGTTCTAGAAAAGGTAATGAAATAGGTGAGCAGAAAAATAATGATAGAAAATGCTACGAATGCGGAAATTATGGTCACATCCAAGCCAACTGTCCAGAACTAAAAAGAAAACTATCCAAGGGCAATCGGAAGAGAAAATCTTCCAGCTTATGGGGTGATGAATATATGCCAGATAATGATCATAGTGGAGTTGCCAACCTTTGTTTCATGGCACAAAGTGAAACAACTAGGAAAAGAAAATCTTTTGGTGCCTGGAGTGATGAAGATATATCAGACAACGATCATGAGGAATCTACAAGCAACCGCTTCATGAACCCAAGTGAAACAAGTGAGGTAAGATCTCATGATTGTGATAAATGTAATGAACTTTAAAATATCGTAGAACAAGCTTTAGAGGATATGAGAAAAATTCTTGATGAGCTCAAGAAGACTAAACGGGAGAAGATGAACTGGGAGACCCAACTTGAAGAATATAATAAGTTAAAAAAGGAAAAGGAAGAGTGGGATATTCTACTCGAAGATTATCAGGATGAAAATGACTTACTTCAAGAAGAAAATGCGGAACTTCGCAAACAAATGAATAGTTGGCACAAATCTTCCCGTCATCATTTTGATCGACAGAACAAGCGGTCTCATTTTCTTAATAACTTCAAGTTGACTGATAAGGGATCTACTAGTAGACGCCCTACCTCAAACAAGTCGACTCAGAAAAGCTTCAAGTCGACTAAGGCACCTGCTGGTAAATACTCTACTTTTTTTGTTACATGTCACTACTGTGGTTATTTTGGACATAAGGCATTTGCATGTAATTATGCCAAAATTCATGTTAGATCAAAATTTGTTTGGAGACCTATAACAATTACATGTATCTCTAATTATACAAGCTACTAACCATGAAGAACCCAAAAACGTTTGGGTACCAAAAATAAACTAATTTGTTTTGCAGGAATTCCTTAGTCCATCCATAAAAAGGATCAAAGATGTTTGCATATTGGCTGGTCGAGGCACATACTTAAATATGCTTCAAAGTTCCTACATATTCAACAGAGGATGAAGAAAATACGATGTATGATCTAAAGAAGTGACTTGTATCACTAAGGTTTATTCAAGTTCTTCTCGCCGCATTAGATGATACATATCCAGTTATTGGTTTAGTAAAGTATAGCCTACTATATGCATATTAGTCACCTATATACACTTTGAGTCCACTAGCTATATCACATTATTGTTCTATTTGGTATTATTTTTTATCCATGACTTAGAGACTTTAAATAGCTTGAGTACATGTCTTGCGTGAACCATGTCATTTGCATAAGATATTAAGACAATCAAGCATGCAATCATATTGATATCGTACAAACTTGAATCATGCCTATATGAGTCTTAGATTATTCTTGAAGTGAATTATATGTGTGATATTTGCTTTCCTGGTAAGAATACTAATGCTTCATTCAAGTCAAGAAAGTTATTCAACCTTGAGGTCAATTCTGCACATGAAAGTTTCCGGGCAATACTCAAAAGGTTGAAGACAAAAGGTATGTATTTCTACTTTTGATGATTATTCACCTCAATTGGGTTATGTTCTGGATCTATATTGGAGAACATTCATATGAGATATGATATGAAGAAAAATTAATTGTTGATTATGTTCATCCTTTTGGTCAAATGTCTATCCACTATCACGAAAAGGACAAAAAATGGTAAGATTGACGGTATCTTCATTAGCCCTTGCTACCAACTAGTCTTATTGGACTTATATATCTTTGAGCAAGAGTGTGAATGCAGATTGGTATTGGTACATTCATACAAACTGATATAGAAAATTCATGAGGAGCATTGCGGTGAATGATGTATTCTAGAAATACAAGAATAACTGAATAACGTCGAAAGAGTCACAGTGTGAGAGCTCACCAAATGTATAACCAAGTATATTCAAAAACTGAGCTTGATGGCAAGGTATTGAGAAACAAAGGTAAACCTATAGCTTAAGATTTCATAGTAAGAAGGTTTGTTTCTTCGTTGAGATCATTGTTATATCTTCGTGGGCATCTTATAGAGTTTTTAAATACTTATAATATGTTTTATATGGTTTTATAATTGAAGAATTTCCTTAAAACATCCCCCATTGTTAATATTTCTCTAACAATGTTCTTGTAACCAATTCGTTTTATGATCATCTCTAAGAGTATAGTTTCTCTTCTTTTCAAAATAAGTTTTTTTTAAAATAGCATGATTTGTAACAATCTGACCGGTCGTTTTGAGTATTTACACTCCTTTCAACTATTTGAAGTCTTGAATAGCTTCATATGATGTATTATGGCGTATGGAAATTGTCGGTTTTGGTTTTCAGGTGTTTCAGAATTAGTTCGGAAGAATGAATTTGATGTTTGAAGCTTCAAGTTGAAAGAATTGATCAAGTTTGACTTTTAGTATTCGACCTCAGATCATAGTTTTGATGATTCTATTAGGTCCATATGGTGATTTTGGACTTGGACATATGCTCAAAATTTCATTTGGATATTCCTAGAAGGTTTCGACACCAAGTGGTGAAAGTTGGACATTTGAAGGTTTGGAATGTTCTTAAATTTGACCGGGAGTTGACTTTGATGATATCGGGTTCAGATTGTAGTTACGAAAATTTCAGTAGCTTCGTTATGTCATTTAAGACTTGTGAAAAAATTTTAAAGTCATTCCGGATTGATTTGATACGTTTCGGCACGCGTTTTGGAAGTTAGAAGATTCAAAGTTCATTAAGTTCGATTTGAGGTGTGATTCATGATTTTGATATTGTTAGGTGTGATTTGAGGCCTCAAGTATGTCCGTGTTATGTTACGGGACTTGGTATAATTGGGCGGGGTCCAAGTGGCTCGGGTGTCTTTCGGGGTGAGTTTTGAACGGGTTTGGGTATTTCGGCACTCTGATGATGTTCTGGAACAGTTGAAGTGCGGAGGGCACATTTTTGGAGTGCGGATGTGTGGGCTGATCTCGTCAAAGTTCACACCCCAAATCAAAGTTATGAAACGGTCGATTGCAATAGTAATACCCAACAAGGAGTCGGGGTCGAATTCCATAGGGAGCTATACGTGAGATTTAGGAGTATAAACTGCAGTGTATGAGTATGAATTATCTCAAATTACACTTCCACAAATTGATGCTTGTTCTATGTCTATTCCAATTTAACATTGCAAGATTAAGTAATGAAACTAAGAAATTATTTTTGTTATTTTTCAAATGATAAAAAGACCTAGGGCTATGACCTTCACCTAGGTGTTTGCCTAACGAGTTGTAAACTTTAAAGCTTGTTTTATTGGTCGGGGTGTATTATATCCATCAACACTTGAGTACCCACTCAATACCTCTCGGTCAGAGAGTGACTTTGCCCAATTTGGCTTTCTCAAGTCGATATGGGTGTAGAACAAAGTGGTTGATAACAAGCTCAAGTCGGGTTTTACTATCTCTAGATTTAACCCTTTAATTGGGACTATCAATGTCTTGATTCACCCTAATTCCTTGTTAGCCAAGTTTTTCTAGATTAAGTCTCTCTTTCTCAAGTAGAGACCAAGTCAAATAAGCATAAACAAATATTTGCAATCATTAATTCTATAATTAAAAACGAGACCAAGGCTAAATAATAAACACCCAACCATAAACAAGCCATAATTCAAACACCCATTAAGTTTACACTCTAGGGTTGGGTCACAACCCTAGTAAAAATCTAGCTACTCATGCTTAAGACAGAAGAAATAGAAGAAGAAATGATAACTAAACCCATATTGATAATTAGAATAAAGAAATCTATGTTCAAAAAACTCAAAATGGAAAAAACTACTAAAAAGAGTAAAAGGAAATGTCTATTGTAGCTGCTGATATCAAAACTTGATCTAAAAAAGTGAAACTCTTCTATTTATATAGAGCTGGAATTTTCGGACAAAAACACCCTTTCGGAGGTTATGCGGCCGCATAATTCCATGTGCGGTACGCACTTTAGCTTAAACCTGACATGATTGGAATCTTGAGGCCGCACAATTCTGAACCACGACCGTATTTCTCTCTTTCTGTGATCCGCACATTTCTGAGTGCGGCCGCACATAGCTCTTCTGCGATTCGCACAAATGCAACTGCGGCCACATAGCTGATCTTCTGCGGCCGCACAATAATGGTGCGGTCCGCACTTCTATTGAACTTGATATGCATGTTCTCTAAACTTTCGGTCTTGCCTTGCTTCTACGGCCGCACATCTCATGTGCGGACCGCACTTCTCACAGATCTCTAACAAGTTCTTCTGCACAATATGCAGACGCAGATGATAATCTACGGCCGCAAATGATAATATGCGGTCCGCACTTTAGAGCTTCTGTGCCTATTTTTGTCCTTGGTTCAGATTACTCCTTCTTGAGTTGGATTTCATCTTTTGGGCTCATTTTCCACCATCCCTGTAATTACGCATATTTCATCAGTTTTTGGGGACACAATTAAACGCATTTGGACTAAAACGAAAGCAAAAAAGGTACCAATAAGTAGTCAAAATCCCCACTCATCACTCTCCCAAACTTAAGCTTTTGCTTGTCCTCAAGCAAATAAGGTAATTCTCACCTCCACAAGTTAAGAGCTATTCCAGCTAATTAATCACACATCAATTTGGAACCAACAATTACCCACATACTTATGAATTATTAACAAGGCAATGGGTTGAACTTTTAAGCACAAATAGTTCTAATGTGACACTTGAGCATCAAGAGTTGACTTAATTTATCAAGGAAACTCGCTCTTTCATGTAAGTCATTGTGGATCCCAAACTCCTCCCCCTCTACTCTCCGTTAGCATAACTCACTAAAGAATGTAGCACTCAATTCAAAAATTTGTGAAAGTTTCGCTCATCTCTCTCAAAGGAATGTCACAAGTACGGCTCTAAGTACAATATTCTTGCCCCTCATATAAATCACCACTAATATAAGATCCCGTCTTGAAATTACGTAGGGCTTTTTCAGAATGCAATGAAGGCTTTTGGACTAAGGTTGGATATGCTATGATAGAACGAGTTCATCTTTCTTTAAGCACTCCATTTTCTCTTATTGGCTCATGATTTGCCAACTTTTTGAGGTATTTTCTTTTCCATAAGGGGATTGGAGAGATTTAGCTTCACTCCTTCTTGGTTATGATATTCATTTTTTTCCTTCTTTGTTTTCTCCATGCCTTGCATCATTACTATTCTTTGAAATCCCTTCACCTCTTCAACTTATTCACTTTCTTTTTGCATTTTTATTTTTGTTCTTCTTTCTTTTTCTTGGATTTTCTTCTCTTTATTTTTTTCTCTTTTTGTGCCTAGATACCTTTTTTCAAACTCCTCGTCTCTCCTCAAACTTACGTTTTTAACCAATTATTTCACAAGAGTATTAAGGAAAGCTCGGGTGCGAAGAGAGGGTCACGACAGAATTGGTAAAGGCTTGTAACATTATGATCAAATTAGAAGGGTTTTAGGATCAAATGGGTTAACTATGGATAACAACATTGGTGGGCCATGGAAAATTTCAAGCGGGTCAAGGAGAGCCTACAATCACTTCTCAAGCCAAGTAAAACTTAAAATTTCGCCTAGAAACACATTCGGAGCAAGTTCTAGACCATTTGCTCTGGTACTTTGACTTGCAATAAAAAAATCTCACCTCTCGTGCAGCTGGATTGTTAAAAAGGATAGAGTAGAGGGCCCACAATGACCATAATCAAGATTTGAAAATCACTATGGCTCGACTAAACCACTCGATGATTGCCTAAGTCAACACAAGAGTGATAAGGTGACTAACTAGAGCTATTTCTTTCCAAAAAAAAAAACTTGTTTCTAACCATAAGCACGTAATTAAGTGTGTTGGAACCAAGTGAAGCATATTTGACTCTTTGAGCTTGACTCAATTTGGTATTTTTATTCCTTATTACTACTATTCTTACCTAAACAGCAAAAATGG